AAATTGGGCCCGAAACCGTGAAGAACAATAATGGGACAGAAAAAATTAATACAAAAAAAATCAAAATCATTTTCTCTGGCACCGTGCCCTGATACAAACATACAACACAAAACCAAAGCAAAAGGGACCTCGAAAAAAGTTGGAGCAAAAAACATGCAATTTTTTATAGAAAATCTCCAAAAATTTTTAAGGGCAAATTAACCCCTTTAAAACAAAAATTACCCCCCACACAAAATGTTTTTAAAAAGGTATAAAGTCCCGTCACACAAAAACGGCCAGCTCCCCCAGGTGCAAACACCCCTGGGGCCACATATTATTTTCACTTTATGCATCACTAATTTCCAAAAACTCTCGCAAACTTTTTTTATCCCCCCCCCAACCCAAGGGAGGGCAACCCCGGTTTTTACCCCTGACCCTTTCCCTACCCCCCGCAAAAACCTTTCCAAAACATACCCCCTCCCCCCCTCGTATAAAATTTCAAGTCTAATAAAAACCCCAAAACGTAAATTTTCCTATATCCCCCTTCTAAAAAATTCCCTTTACCCACCTCCCCCCAAAAAATTTTCCCTTTTTTCTACATACCGTTTTATAGAACTTTAAAAGCCCAACAAAACCCCCCTTAACCTAAATTTAAACCGTTTGCCCCCCCGCAAAACCCAAAACACTTTATAGAAAATAATCGCCATAATGTTTTCCCAAAAGCTCTGAAATTTCACATTTTCCCCCCCCCCCACCGTCGAGACTTTTTAAAGCTCTCAAAACAGAAATTCCCCCTTTTCCTCCCCATCCTTTTTATCAAACCCATAATTTTAAACCCCCCCTTGACACTCCTCAAAATCCCTCCCCAAAAATTTTACTACATTAAAAAACCAAATCCCCCCCACCCCATTCCCCCACAAATTTACCCCCCGGTCCCAAGCATCTCTATCCCCTAGAAACCCCCAACCCCACGGTTTTAAAACCCCTGCCCGAAAAAAGATACAAAACATCCCCGGGGACACGAGGCCCAAACCCCATCCTTTCTTCCCCAAAACCCAAAATTTCCCCTATATTCCCCCTGCATTTAAAGGGGAAAATTACCTTTACGAAGGCGGCTAAAAAACCCTCCCGGCAACATCTCACAAAACTACCCTAATTTTAACCCTTTTGGGTGGCTCTCGATCCCCGCCCAAGCCCCCAAAAACAGTTTCACAAAATCATGCCCAAACTCACTCCCTGTATACATCCGTAATTGGGGAATCTGGGTTTTGGATTTTCCTGGCCAAAAAACCCCCCCCAAACCCCCAAATTTTTCCCCAAACACCTCCCTTTTTTTTAATAAGGGCAAAATTTGTCCCTTCCGCTTAAGTCCAGCAAAAACCCCCGCCCCCCCTTTCTTACAGGTAAACATTACCAAAAACTCTCCTTTAAACCAAACCCAAACCCCGAAACCCCACAAAAAATTTAAAAACAAAAAACCTTTTCCCAAAATATGTTCGTTATTGCTGGCCCCAGTTAATTTGGGAACCGGCGCCACGTTCCATAACTTTGCTTACAGTAAGATAAAATTTAAAAAAAAATGGCACAGCTTGAACAAGGGTCAAATGATTTTAAGGTTTGAAAAAAGCACCCGGGTTCCCAAAAAACCCCAAACAGTTTTTAAAGCGTACCGGGAGAAACCTTTGCCCTTTTTTTACCCAAAAAATTTCGAAAGTTTTCCAACTGCCTAAAACCCCCTTAATCTCCCCCCCCCAATAACCCCAAACCCCCCCAGGGTTTATCGAATTTAACCCCCTTATTTGCCCCACCCTACTAAACCCAAAAATCAATTTTAAACCCCAAAACCCTCCCGGGGCCAAAGACCTCCCATCCCCAGAATCAGGTTTATAATATTTAAAACCCCCAATTTTAAAAACCCCAAACCCCGCAAACCCCCTTTCCCCGGCCCTTCCCCCTTTCCCGTCAAAAAGTGTCCAATATAAAATAAATTTCCCTTTTGTTCAAACAAAAAGTACAAAACCACATACCCCTTTAAAACTCCACCCCAAATTTTACCTCGAAACCCTTAACACCCCCTTTGGTCCCTACAACGTACCCCCCAATACCCCTTTTCCCCAAAAACCCTTAAAAAGGGTCCTTTTAAAGCTTTTGCAAACCAAAAATTTGTTTAACTTAAAGGCCAAAAAACCCCCTTCCCCCAACCCCCCCTTTTCCCAAAATCCCTTTCCCATCCCCCTCCATTTAAGACCCCCTAGCCCAAACAAACCAATTTTCAAAAACCCAAATTTCCCCCCCCAACTATTCTCCTAAAACCCCAAAACAAATTTTTTTTCCCGGGGATTTCCAATGCCCCTTTCCCGGAATTTCCCCAAAACGGTATGCCCCCCCTTAATTTTTAGAACGGCTACAAAAAAACCCTTCCCTTTCCCCCCCCAAACCCCCTTTTTCCTCCAGAAAATTTTTAAAAACCCCTTAAGCAAAAAAAGCCCCAAAAGATTCCCTGAAACCGGTCAAAACCCAAACGGTTTTGGTTATCAACCCCCCCCGGGTTTGTTTGAAAACCCCCTTGCCCCCCATTTTCCCCACTCAAAACTCTTCGCCCCCAAACTTTAAACATGGCGCCCAAAAAACAAATCCCCAAAATAATTTACCCAAATAAACCCCATCCTTACCCTCTTTCCAGTACCCCCAAAAACCAAAGACAAAGCCCCCCCCCTGCCCTTCTACCCGGGGATCCCTTTCCTCCTTATCAATTTTAATAAAACCCCAAAAACCCGGAAAATTTTTGCCTTCTTTTTTTTCCCTGCCCCCGGTAAAAACCCTAAAAGGGAAGCCCCCTCAATCTTCCCCCCCCGGGGCTTTGCCCCTTTTTGATAATTTACCCTTCTAAAGCCCCCATAATTTCCAATTTTTTTCCATTATATTTGCCACCCAATCGCCCCTCCTTCGCAAAACAAACCAAAAAATCTAAACCCTTTTTTCAAAAAAACCCCAATTTGTTACCCCTTCCCTTTTTAGTTAAATAAAAACTAAATCCCATCTTTTAGCCACACCCCCCAATCACTTTTTCCAAACTTTAATAACCCCCATTTTTTCTCCCAAAAGGTAACCCCCTTTCCCCGGTTCCTAAAATCCCCTAAAAATTCCCTATCCCTCAATTTTTTTTTTTTTATTTCATAAAAATCCCCTAAGGAAAATAAACATTTGCCTTAAGGGGTTACCTTCCCACCGCCCCAACCCTCCTGGGAAAAAAACCCACCCCCCCGATGAAATTTCCGTTGGAAAAAAAGTAAAATTTCCCCTTTTTTCGGTTAACCCCGGAAAAAATAAATTCAAAACCCATAACCCCCCCTTTTAAAATCCCCTTTATACCCCCCTTTTTTCACCAAAACCCCTTTTTGCAAGGAAAAAAAACCCGTTAATTAACCCCCAAAAAGGGGGGTTGGGGGGCCTTCTACCTTTTTTCCCCCCCCCTTTTTAAAACCCAAAACCCCCATCCCCCTCCCCCAACTGAATATCCCCTGCCTCCCCAAAAAGAAACCCCCGCTAAAAGGGGGCCCCCGACAAAGTGCCCCCCCCCTTTTGGGGTTTCCCCGTAAACCCCCTAAAAAACGCAGTTCCCCAAAAATCGCCCACAACGATGGGGCCCCTGAAAGGGAAACCCCGTAAAAAAAAAAACTAGTTTTTTTCACAAACAAAATTCCCTTTTTAAACCCCCCACATCATTTTCCCCCTGGTGCTACACACCTACAAAAGATACCCCCCCTGTCCCAAACCCCCCACCCTTTCCCCGCGCAAAATTCCTTTCCCCCCCCTCCTTTCCCCCTAAAAACTTTAGCCCAAACCCAAACCCCAGGGTTTTTTAAAACCTTTTTATTTGGGGGGCCTTTCCCCCAAAAAAAACCCACACCAAACCCCCTTTCAGGGGCGTGCAGATGGCAGAGTCAAGGGCCGAAACCCCTTTCCCCTCGAGCACAAACTTTCCCACCTTGAAATTGTGTTTTTTGCAAAGGAAAAACTTCTCCACCCTATATTTTAAAGAAACATTCGAAAACCAATTTCCTTTTTTCACACTATTAACAAAAGTCCCTTTAAGTTTAAAAAGTCATAAAAACCCTTTTTGGCTCTTTAAAGTTTTTCCCAAACCCCCCTCCTCTTTCATTTATCCCAGGGCCTCCTGCCCCAGAGCCAGCCCCAAGGCCCTTTACACCATCAAACCCCCCCCCCCCCCTTTTTTCCCATGCCTTTTATCGTGACTGCCTTTTGACATTGCCCTTCCTTCCCCCCCCAGAAAACCCCTTGCGCCGGCGTCCCGGAACCCCCATCTGGGGTCTTTACGCCGCCGCTTTTCTTTTTCGTTATGCCCTCTACATCCATGTTATCTTCAGAGGGTTTCCCTTTAAAGATGAACCTCAAACCCCCACCACGGGCCCCGTTCCAAAGCCCACGGCCCACAACTCTCTTTTACCTTAGTTGGGCCCCCTCAACCCTGTATGTTTTTTATCCCCTTAAAAATTTCCCTTTCAGGGCACCGCCGTTTTCTCTTTTACCAGCTTTAGGGAAAAACATTTCCCCTGCATGGGGGGTTTCCCCAAAGTCCTTAAAAACCCCCTGGGCTCTTCCCCTATACCTGCAAACCCCCTTCTGCAATTTCACTTCCTTTTAAATTGCTCCCTTTTTGTTTTTAACAGACCTTTTACATTTTACAAGGGTTTCCTCAAAACATGGCCCAAATTCCCCCTCTTTGGAATCCCCCACCTCTTTCCCCCTCCACAAGCCCCGGGCCCCTTGCTGCCCCCAAACCCCGGGTTCCCAAACCAAACTATCACGGGTGGTAAAAATGGTTTCCCCTACCCAATTTTTCGCTGCCCAACCCCCTCAAAGCTTCACGCCCCTCTGCAGCCCTATGGTTCCCTATGCCCCAAAAAATTTTGCACGTAAAAGTCTTGTCCGGGAAAAACGAAAACCTTTAAATTGCGTTTCCCGGAAGTCCTTTCCCAAAACGACGTTTTTAAAACGGGATGGGAACCCTCTCAGAGTCATCTTCAGGAGAAGGTTTCACCCCGGACCCTCCCCCTGTAAGCACCTGCCGTCCCTTGCCTTTTGTTTCCGATGTACGGTTTTCCCTATGTCTTCCCAAAAAACTCCCTATGTCAGCCCCATTTTGCCCCCAAAAGGGACATTACGTAACTTAACCCACGTAAATTTGGCCGAAGATAAAGTCGATTTAAACGCAAACCTTTAAAAAGACAGGGTAAGGGGTTTAAAAAATCACGTTTTTGGAAAACCCCGTTAACCCAAAACCCCCAACAAAAAAACCCCCCCGGAATTTCGTCTTTTACGAAAAATTCTATTTAAACCCCATTTTAAGGGGTACCCATACCCTATCCCTCCATGGGTTCCAAAAGGGGCTTCCCCAAATGATTGTCGGGGGTTTTAAAATTTTCATGAAGGGGTAAAAACGCCCCAAGAAGCAGCTCAATACCAAAAGGTATTTACGCGCCTCCTCCCCCCTCGCCCCTATGTTGATACAAGGTAGCCGCCCTTTAACAGCAGAGGGGGAAACGCCCCAAAACCCCATTCCCACCCTGGTCAGGAACGAATGAAAAAACTTAGGGTAACCCCAAGGAAAAAACAAAGGGAACCCCTAGTGGGATTGCTTTTTATTTCTAAATTTTCAACTGTTTTTCAGGAACCCTTTCCCTTTTGTGGGATGTGGCTCCCAAGCTAGGGGAAAGGGGGCCCTTAGGAAAATTCATTTCACTTTGGGAGACTCAGGGGGATTTCTTTGATAGGGTTTTACTCACCCCACAAACAAGTTGTTTTAGTTTTTTGCACGGAAAAAAGGCGGAATTTCCGGGCAGGGAATTAATTCCCCTAAAGAAGGTGTACCCCCTAAAAGGTGCCCCGTGAAAAACAGGACATAGAAAAATTTTGTTTTTTTTTGTGATAAAAAAAAGTGAAATTTCCCTTAATGAAACATTTCAAATTCCCCCCACAGGTAATCCCGGGAAAGTTACTTTCGAGAAAAAAAAAATTTAAAAAGTAGCCCCAAAAAAACAGGAAAAAATGAAATCACGAAAGCCCTAAATAAATTGCAAATTTACGGAAAATTTGGGGGTTTTAAAACCAAAGGCAAGTAAGGGGCGTAAAACTCAAAAGGGGCCCGTGTGTTAAACCCCCCTCGGGTTTCCCTGGGGTTTTACAACCCGGCCTGTGAGGTTTTTCGACTCACTTGCCCTGGGTTCGAAAACCCCAAAATTTTCCCTGATCTTTGGGGAAAGGGGGTTTCAGTCTAACGTAGAAACCCTCATCACACCCGAAATCGTGATTTTAATTTAAACCCGGGGTGGAACGAAATGTTTGGGCCCGCAGCTACCTGTTTGGTAAACGGGCACAAAAATGCCAAACTAAAAAGTAACATTTTTTTTTGTGGCAACCCTTTCGGCCCTTCCCAGCAGTTTTTTCAAAGCCGTAACCCTTTTTTTTTATGTTAAAAAAGGGTTTTTTTCCCGGAAACAAGACAAAGAAATTTTTACTGAAAAGCGGGTATCAGGTCAAGGGACCCACAAATGGAGTTTTTGGGCATTTTGACCGGGCCTTCTCCTTGCTTAACCCCCCCTTTACCCAGTCTAAAAATTATTTGTCAATAAATTTTTAAGCCCCCGAAATTAAAATTTAAATTTTTGACTTAAGTATAAACCAAAAAAATTTGTTTTGTAAAGGAAAATCTTAAAAACAGAAAATATTTTTCAGAAAACGTTTTTGGTTTCCCGGACTTACCACAGACATAGTGTGAGGAGTAAAGTTGAAATGCTTGCCCTTGGGGGAGCGAGCCCATTTTGTTATCCCCAAACCCCCACCCTCACCTTTTGATGGTGAACGGGGAGGTTTGAGGAACCTTCGGGGTGCGGCTGCCCCCCCGGTGGGGGCTGCGTTCCCCTCCCTTCCCCCCTGCTCCGCCACCACCAGAAAAGAAATCCCCTTAATGTATAGCCCAACTACCCAAAAAATTTGTCGTTTTTGGCGTGCTTTTTACTATTGTGGCAGCAAGCAGCAGCTAAATAGTTTTTCAAAAGGGCTTGTCGATAATCAACTTAAAATTTTTTTCTTTTGTGTGTTTGTGTGTGTGTGTTTTTGGTTTTTGTGTTTTTGTTTTGTTTTTTTGTTTTGTGTGTGGTTTTTTTGTGTGTTTTTGTTGTTTTGGGGTGGTTTTTGTGTGAAAACCCCCTACCTTTTTTCCTTTCAAGGGGGGTTAAATCTCACTCCCGGGTTCCTTTAAATTAAACCCCCTTGCAAGGGTTCCCCCCCTCTCACCCCTTTTAAGGCCCTTGTCATACCCCTTTTCATAAAAAAGTGTTTGGGGTTCCTTTCCTCTGAAAAATTTTGTCCTGACAAAATTCCCCCCAAAATCATTTGCATTTCTAAACTTCCCCTCTTTCCCCCAGTATCTCTAACCCCTATCCCTCTCCAAACCTTTTTAATTTCTCCAGATTTTTTTCGTTGTTGTTATCAGTCTCCTCTGGTTTTTTAATTCCTTTTCTCTAATCGGTCCCCAAAATTTTAGTTTCTTTAGTTCGGGGCCAAAGTTCTCGCTACTATTTGATAATTAACCTTTGAAGATTTTGAGAGTTTTTTCCTACTCAAGGAAACCATAGCCTCCAGGGTTGTCTGGTGTTTTTTCCTAGGGCAAAGAAGGCTGTTTTCTGTGGTTTATTCGATGCCACCCTACTCAAAACCAAAAATATTTGGTTTAACCCGGGACCTTGTAAAGAAAACTTGTTTCCAAATTTTTTCCCCTTTAAGTTTTTTAAAAAATTGTTCCAGCAGTGTTTTTGAAAAAATCTTCGGTAAAAAATTTTTTGAATAAAATCTGGGGCCACGAATATTGAAAAGTTTTCCCCTTTTTTGAAATCCCACAGGGAAACCCCCTACCGCAACCGAAAACCTCTGAATTTTTTTCCAAATTTTCTTAAAAATGTTTTATCGGGGTGGGTTTCCAAAGGGTTTATGCCGGCGTACCTTCAGGATGTGGTCCTGACGTAGCTTATAAAAAAGGCCCACGGAAAAGAATTTCAAAAAAAAAGGGGGGGTTACTTTACCCGGGGGTTAGGGATATGGATAGCCCCTGTGCCCCACCTCTTTCTTAAAACAGAGTGAGTTTGGCTGGGCCCTTTGTCCACCCGATTATTATACCCAGTTTCCGGTTTTTTTGTCAAAATTTTTCAATTTTTCACAAAACCCTTTCATTTGCTTGGGGGTTGAACCAAAAAAACAATTCAACAACCCTTTTTTCCCGGTTCGTTTTGTAGCCCTTTACTGTCTTCATGGTTTTTATTCTCTTCCCCAATTTTTAAATTTTTTTTTTAAAAAAATTTTTTTTTGGGGGGTTTTTTTTTGGGGTTTTTTTGTAATTTTCCCCTCCCTTTTAAAAAGCAATAAGTTTTTCCCTTTTGGTAAGAAAGGGGCCCCCCTTAAACAGCAGGTCAGGTTTTGGGGCTACTTCCCCTATAGAATGGTGAAAAGCTTATAAAGCAGGGCATGTTCTGGGCTACTTGGGCCGTATAGAAGGTGGCCCCCCCTTATAAAAGCAGGTCAGGTTTTGGGCTACTGCCGAATAAAGTCCCCCCTTATACAGCAGGTCAGGTTTTGGGCCCCCCTGCCGTATAGAAATGGGGCCCCCTTTTTAAAACAGGAGGTCAGGTTCTTTGGGGTACTGCCCCCCCAATAGAATTTTTGGGGCCCCCTTATACAGCAGGGCAGGTTTTCGGCCCACTTCCTTTAGAAGGGCCCCGTTATACGCAGGGGCCCGGTTTTTGGGCTACTGCCGAAAAGAAATTCCCCCGCTTATACAGAAAATGGTCAAAGGTTTCCCGGCTACGCCTATTTGAAGGCCCCCCTTTTACAGGCCGTCCCGGGTTTTGGGGGTACTGCCGTTTTAGAAGGCCCCCCCCCCCTTAATTTCAAACCCCGGGTCAGGTTCTTGGGCTACTGCCCGAAATTTTGAAGGCCCCCTTTTCAGCCCGGCGGTTCCCGGCCCTTTCTGCCCCAAGAAGGCCCCGCTTATACAGCAGGGTCATTTTTCTGGGGTAATGCGTAAGAAGGTCCCGCCCTTTACAGGCAGGTTTTCTGGGCCCACTGGGCCTATAAGGGGCCCGCTTATACAGCCCCGTACGTTTTAGGTTTTTTGGGGGTTTCTGGCCAAATATAGAAAAGGGCCCCGCTTTTAACAGGTCAAGGGTTTTGGCCTACTCCCTTTTTAAAGAAAGCCCCGCTTAAACCCGTAGCGTCGGTTCTGGGCTACTGCCATTAAAAGAAGGGCCCCCCCCTTTAAAACCCGCAGGTTGTTCTGGGTTTTTCTTTTCCCCCGTATAGAATGGCCCCCCCATTTCCCCCAGGGCAGGTTCTGGGGCTTAAATGCGTATAGAATGCCCCCCTTTTAACAGCCAGGCCGGGTTCTGGGCTACTGCCCGATAGAAAGGGACCCCCTTATACGGGGGTTAGGTTCTGGCCCCACTGCCGGGATTTGAAACGGGCCCTTAATTTTCCCGCAGGGTCAGGTTTTTGGGGCCCACTGCCAATAGAATGGCCCCGCCTTTTACAGAAAAGGGCAGGGGCGGGCTAATCTTCCAAAAAAAGGGCCCCGCCCTTTTACAGAAGTCAGGTTTTTGGGCTACTGCCCTTTTAGAAAGGGGCCCCCTTTTACAGCAAAGGGCAGGTTCTGGGGGCTACGTATAGAAAGGGCCCCGCTTTACACGCCCGGTCAGGGTTTTGGGCTACCCGCCAAAAGAAGGGCCCCCCCTTAAAACCCGCCCCGGTCAAGGGTTTTGGGCTACTTCCTTATAGAAAGGGGCCCCGCTTATACAGATCAAGGGGATGGATTAAGTTTTTTCTTTTGGGGGTACTGCCAATTAAAAAAGGGGCCCCCCCTTATACAGCAGGTCCCGGTTCTGGGCTACTGCAGTATAGAAGGGCCCCCCCTTATTTCAGCAGGTCAGGGGGCTGGGCTTTCTGCCTTTTAGAATTTCCCCTTATACAAACAGGTCCCGGTTTTGGGTACTGCCGAAAAGAAGGCCTC